AATTTATTATCGTATTTGACTGGGCTAAACGCCCAACCAAACACCCCGCACCTTATAAATAAATAAAAACAAAGTATCACAAGAGAATTGCTTCTTATCCGTAAGCTTACCGCCCAAATAATTGCTCCCGTCTGATTGCAATCCAACGGTCTCGATTTAGTTCAGTAACTGTAGACTAAGGATACGGTCAGCACGGCAGTATTACCGACTTCCGTCTACATCGGGTCGTTCATCCAGAATCTCACGGTTAGTAAGAATTTGCTAGCAATTCCATGGTTAAAAATCTGTCGGTGCCACGCGTGCCACGTGGTTTTTGAAACACGCGGCGTTTGAGGTAGGGCATGCATTTCTTTCAAGTGGTGGGGACATCTCGGCGCCAGTTGTTCGCAGCTTTTGAGTGGGACCCACTGTGGCATAATTATTATCTCTTTCGATTAATTGTTAATTTGGGGGAAAATTTTGCGTACGCTAATATTCAAATATTTTTTTATATAACCTACATATAATTTATGGATATGTGAAAACATAAGCGAGGAACTTATTCTTAAGTTCAGATAAGTTATAGTTAAATTATATAGAGATTATATGGAGGTTACATATCATATAACGTGGATATAATGTCGATATAACATAGATAACCTTCACTATATACGCAGCGCTCCGTCCGTCTCACATATGCAAATTTTTCTCTAATTTGTGAGTATATAAATAAACCTAAAATTTAATAATAATTACGTATATTTTGAGTTTCTATTTTTATTTTGAAGAAATTATTTAATATTTTGTATCAAAAGTGAACATAAAAATTTTTAAAATCTTAAAATTGCATTTTAAAAATTAATAAAATATTTTATTTGTAAAAAAATTGTTTTTAAACTTTTTAGTGGCATTTACATTCATATTATTTTAAATTTACATCTCCAAAATCTAAACTAAGTTCTTACATTCCTATTATCAAAATGTTCATATGACTTGAAAATTTTATTATTTTAAAATACATCTCATAAAATATAGGTAGGTTTGCATATATGTAAAAATTTTAATTTATGTGGAGTGATATGCATGAAAGTTTTCCCCTTTTTTTAATACCATTATGTGGAGTGGTATGCATTTCTTTAGTGTTGGCCACGAAGGTGCATGTGGACCAGATTTTTCACACCCAATGAAGCCCAAGGAGTTAATGTGTGGCTGCCACGTACTTTAAAGGGGCTGAAAGAGGGTGGCGTGTTTTGAAAGTCATTTCAAAGTCAAGGTAAATTATTGGTCATAAAGATAAGCCGTCTGCGGTGGATAATTCCAATCCTCTGAATCTTGTGACGTGCTACGATAAACACTAGTTGCCTAAAAGTAGCACATTTTATGTTCCATGTGAGAGGCTATGGTCGATTCACTGCTCGTTTGTAGCATCTCGTGGTTCAAGACATCCATCTAAGACACCTGATACGTGTTTCAGGGCACGAAAGCAGGGTTTGTGATAATTCCAATTCTTCAACTTCTTTGCCACCTCCAAACAGTAAAACACAGTTAAAAATTCAGCAAAAGTAGCTGAAAAGGTAAGTATTGATACGCAACACTTCGCCGCAACTCTTCGTTACAACGTTCTCCGCAACACTTCACCCCAACTATTCGCCGCAACACTTCACCGAAATTTTTTGCCGCAACATTTCGCAGTAACGTTTCGTCGCAACATTTCGCCGCAACGTTTCGTTGCAATGCTTCGCCTCAACTTTTGCCGCAACGCTTCACCGCAACGCTTCACCGCAACACTTCGCCGCAACAAAAAAGAAGATTTCATTGCTTGTCTGCTACACATGACGGGAACGATTTTCTTCTTTTGGGAAATCCCAGATCACCTTCTAGGCAGAGACGAGGACTCCATATTTTTTCTCCTCTCCTTGGTCTATTTATAGGCTGAAAAACTCTCTCATATTCATGATAAAATTAATTAGAGTCATAAGAAAATAGTTATTTATTAAAAAAAAGAAAAAAAAATTTCATTTTATATTCCTTCAATTTTTGACTTCTTAAAAATCCTGTGTTTATGACTGAAATTAATCAAAATTAAACAACTGATAATTAAAATAAATTAATAAAAAAAATTCTTCACATTCTGTGATTTAAAAAAAAAGTACATTTAAATGTCCGTTTTTATTTAATTCTTGCTTGGCCTGTCAGGTCTCGCTTGGCCCGCCGGGTCACATTTGATCTGACCATCAAGTGGTGGATCAGGTTTTGGCTGGGTAAAAAAAAATTTTTATATTGTTTTTTGTGGGATTTAAACCCCCACACTTACAAACGGCAAAAGCCACATATCAACTGAGCTAGACTCAATTTACTAATTTATTAAGAATAAAAATTATTCTTATTTACATACTATAGATATTTTATTTTTTTATGCCCTCTATGAAAAATCTATGGATATTAACATTTTCGGACGAAAAAAAAGAAAAAGTATTTCGTTCGAAAATATGGGGCAACTGATACGCAACCAACAAATTTTCATTATCCGGCACGAATCTCGGTGTAATTTTTTGAAAAAGAAATATTTAAACTTCGATTAAGAGTCATCCGGAACTCCAATTTCAGCAAACTTATAGTCAAACTGATCGGCTCGAAGAGACGGACCTAATGATATAAAAATTAGTCCAATCTGAGGCCAATCAAGCCCGGATCAAATCATCAAACCAATCTTGGAGGATTTTCAGAGGCATTTAAATGTCAAACGAATGTTGAATCTAAAGAGTTCATAGTCGAATCGAACATCTCGACAAGACAAATCCAACGAGCCCAAGATTGCTCAATTTCAATATCGTTAAGGCACTCAAATGTCCATCAGACGTTATCTAATCAAGGAAAGCTCTTATGACCGTCCGATCAAAATGGTTCAAATTCCTGCATTAATTGCACTCAAAACACTATAAATAGAGCCTCACCCCTCACATGAGAGGGTAGAGGCTTAAGAGAGAACTTGAGGCTTTGAGAAGAAGCTCAAGTCCAAGATCATCCTCGCCATCGTCGATCGCCGCTGATCACCGCTGACCTTCGTCACAACCACCGCCGGTCACCGTTGATCGCCGCCGATCATCGCTGACCTCTGTTGACCACTGTTGACCGTCATCGACTGTCGTTAGCCACCGCTGACCTCCGTCGACCGCCACCGACATTCATCGATTTTCGTCGACTACCGTCGATCACAGCCATCATCCGTCAACCACCGCTGACTAAACGTCGTCAGTTGACTTTGTAATTTGGAAAGCCAGTAACTCTATCTCGTCTGTGGGACAAGGGGCATCTGTAATCAACAACTTATAGTGAATTTTTACAACTGCCCCAGACCCCGTGGTTTTTCCCCTTTACGTGTTTTCCACGTAAAAACTTATGGTGTTATCACAGTTTGATTCATTTTCATCTGAGTGTGTGTTGAATCCTCGCACAACACTAAAATGATAATCCATTACTCTACCGCCGCGAAATTGCTAGCACGCATCAAGTATGAAACATGTTTCTACCATTGTATAAGTCCTCTCAGGTCAGAAGTTCAAATCCCCTCTGGCACAATTAGCCTTAAAGGAGGTGCTACTCGAATTATTAGGCACATTAGAGGTGACTAGACGCTCATCCGACCATTAGCAATGCAAATACATAGTAATTTGGTGGTTCTCCATGTAAATGCCTTAAAAAAATAATACGACGCTCCACTAATTCCTTTTTCTATTTTAATTATGCATTGCTCATCAAATTTTGCAAGCTAGGGTTTGAGTAATTGTGGCATTTCTAACATTGAAAAATGTAATTATTTTCATTTTCCTTTTTAATTTTGCATGTAAATATGTATTTCAATTTTTTAAAAGCTAAGAGAAGAGATATTTTTTGTAATATGATAGATTTTGGTGGTATAAATATAAAAAGTAGAAATTGGATGTTAGACATGTAAATACATGGGACTTTGGTGGTATGTATGTATAAGGCCATATTAAATTTTAGTCACATGCTGATTATATCCGAGTAAAAGTGATATCTTTTGTTTTTTTTTT